TTTGCCATATTTATAACACACATGTCTGCATTCTCCCACAATTTGCATACCGATTATGTGATTTATGTCAGTCAGTGGTTGAAATCATGGGACTTGAATATTCCTCTCAAGCAGTCTGAGTCGTTTTATGTAAATGATTGCCGACATTCCAATCGCAGATGATGGAATCTTTTATTCCGTGCTTTGTAAATGCTGGGATTATTTGCCAAGCTGGCCAAAATATGTTACTGCTGTTATAATCTTATTGTTAAATACCATTTTAATGCTGCAATTTGCACTGTGGTCAAGGCTTTTTTTTATACATTGTCACTAACGTCACATGACAGTAAAATGGAGTGGACAGAAAAATATGTGGAATAACTTCTTATCTGACATAATCGGAAAAATTAATGTGATCTCGCATTTCAGCAAGTGTAAAACGTAAACACTTTTATGTAATCAAAATAGCAGACTGTTTTCCAACAATCAAACTAGGCAGCTAGCTGGAGCAGTATATTCTAATGTATCAAAGGCATTTCTTCACAATAATCTTCATCTGTTTTAAATGAGTCAAGTGAAATGATGAGAACTGCTTAATCCATTCTCTGAGCTTTGTGTTATCTGTCCAATCAGCACCTGGTTTCATATCAGGCTGTGGTATTCAATTCTACTAACCTAAGTGGGCTAGTGTTTTACTGGCTTCTTGGGTTGGTGATTGTCTATTCGCTTTTTAGGCATGACATCACAGGGATGGTACTCAGTGCTATCTTGAACCCAATGACGTTTGAGTGCTATCTGATCACTGATTGGACTCTTAATTTTTAGTGTAAGCGACACATTTTCTTTTGGATTATGTCATTAGACTCCATTGAAGTCTATGATTATGGCCAAGAAAAGAATAAAAGTGAAGCAAATGCATTTAGTTAATAAATTTTATATTTCTATAAACTATTTTATTTTCATTATTTTGTTCAAGTCTGTGTTTAACGATGTGAAATATCCCAGAAACATGGCAACTGCCACAAAATTGTTAGACCTTTTCTCTCTTATGAAATTCATATGAACCCTGTCTGGCACAATTACGTTTATTAACTCGAAGTATAGATGTATACAATGCTGTCAAATATTGCATGGTAAATGTCATTTAATAAAGAGAATCTTGAGACTGTCAATTTTGATACATGTATGTTCTTTATTGTCTTGTATTCATTTTTTATGCAAATAAACTAATAAGTAATCACAATTTGTGAATGCAAGATTTTATAGCGTGGTCTTTCATTTGTATGCATGATAGCCGTTTTATGAACATCATTTAGCCCTTACCGCTTGTGAGATTATAAAGATGTATTTACACTTTCACCGATGCGGAGATAACAGGATAACTGATTTTGGAGTTCAGACTTTACAGTCTGTGAGAAATGGTGACCAAACAGAGCAATAGTGAACAGATTGAGTTTGGGAGAAACTGAACCGATGCCATATATATATCCAGTCAAGTGAAATGATGAGAACCGCTTAATCCATTCTCTGAGCTTTGTGTTATCTGTCCAATCAGCACCTGGTTTCACATCAGGCTGTGGTATTCAATTCTACTAACATAAGTGGGCTAGTGTTTTACTGGCTCCTTAGGTTGGTAATTGTCTATCCGCTTTTTAGGCATGACATCACAGGGATGGTACACAGTGCTTTCTTGAACCCAATGACGTTTGAGTGCTATCTGATCACTGATTGGAGTAACTATTGAAAGCCTGGATATTCGTCCAGAAAATGAGATGGTACTATTGCAACAAAAATACATTTATTTCATTTGATCAAAATAAGTTTGACTTCAGGAAATTGAAATTTGTTTGAACAGAATGCTAATTAAACAAAGCCGAATCTGGGAAAAAATATTGCTGAAATGGAACTGATCCCATAATCAATTGTCTTTTATACACAGGTTGCTCATATGTTGTGCTTTGGCAGGTGGTCTTTATATAAAGGTTCTCACTATGGGCAGGTGGTCTTTATATAAAGGTGGTCACTATAGTCAGGTGGTCTTTATATAAAGGTGGTCAGTATAGTCAGGTGGTCTGTATATAAAGGTGGTCACTATAGTCAGGTGGTCTTTATTAGCCTTCGCAGACGAAGTCTGCCGAAGGCTTATAGATTGGGTTCTGTCTGTCCGTCTGTCCGTTTGTCCGTTTGTCAGTCTTTTGCCTCCTATAACTTTGATATGCTCTGTCCAATTTTTTTCCAAATTGGTGCAAATGTATATCTCAATGCCATACATATGCACGCAAAGTATTTTTTTGATTCGCCAAAGTTT